CCCCCTCTCCTTCCCTCCGCCTCCTTCCTTATCTACGCCTCGTTTAACGTAAGTAATTCGTAAATGGTCTTTATCTACGGCATTATCTTGTACGAGGTTAATTGTGCGGACCACGTTTTCCGATACCGCTCCGCTTGCTGGCCGTTCGCTCTCGCGCTGTTTTAGAGGCGCCAATGTTTCCTTTTCTTCGCTTTTTATTCGTGCGTTTGTTTTTTTTCATTTTTTTCGTTTTCTTCTTCTTTTCTTTTTTTTCTTCTTCTTACTTTAATTCGTTCTTTCTTCTTCTTACTTTAATTCGTTCTTTCTTCTTCTTTTGCTTCTCATATTTCTTCCGCCTTTTCTTCTTTTTATTTTTACTTTTCTACTCTTCTTCCTTCCTTTCCCCATCTTCGTCAACCTCTTCTCAGTGTTCTTCGTCTTCTTCTTCCTCTTCCTGTTTTCTTTACGTTTTTTTTCTTGTCTTTCCGCTTTTATTCTTTCTCCTCGCTTTCTTCTCTATTTTCCCCAGTTCCTATTTTTCTTCTTACTCTACTTTTTCTCTTCTTCATACTCTCCTCCTTCCTCTTCCTATCCTCCTATCTAACTTTTTCCTACCCTTTTCTTTCTCCTTTCTCCTCCTCCTTCATCATAATATGTCCTTCATTTTTTTTCCCATCGATATTATCTTCTCGTCTTTATTGCACTCTTCTTCTCTTCCTCTTTTCCTCTTTTGCTTGTCATCTCTCTTCGTTTCCTTCCTCCATTTCCTTACTAATCTCTATTTTAACCTTTCCTCTGCTTTCTCTTGTTGTAACAATATATATATATATATATATATATATATATATATATATATATATATATATATATATATATATATATACACACACACATATTTTTTTACATTTTAATAAAAAAACATAATGGCAATCAAAAAAGGAAATAAATTATATAAAAAATAAGTAGAGAGATTGCGTGAATGAATAAGAGTGAGTGGATGAATAGTTGAGAGGATGATTGGGTGAGTGGGTGAGTGGGGGTGCGGGTGAGTGAGTGAGTGAGTGAATGAAAGAGAGAGAGGGGCACTGACACGGATATGGATAGATAGATAGATAGATAGATAGAGAGAGAGAGAGAGAGAGAGAGAGAGAGAGAGAGAGAGAGAGAGAGAGAGAGAGAGAGAGAGAATGAAATACTCACAGTGACAAAGAGAAAAATAGAGAGAGAAAGAACGAGAAATGAGAGAAAAAGAAACACTGACACAGAGAGGAAGAAAGGCGCAAGAAACAGAAAAAGCGAACTCCAAGCCAAGAGCCGCAAGAGGCAGCGCTCTCACCGGAAGTCGAGTTTTGTCTCGTTATTTCTCGTTTCTTGCGAGGTCAAAAGGGGACGACGCGAACGTAGCGAAGGTCAGAGATGAAAGGGAAGCGGAGGGATAACTTGGCGATAATAAAAATAAGGAATGTACAAAGGAGAGGAGTTATCTATTTAAGAAATAGAATAAAAAAAGAACGTAATTTAAAGTATGTTTAGATTATCCTCTTTTTTGGGCACATGTATGAAACCACTCGAGAGGATTTAGAATGGCTTATCGTTTTTTTTTTTTGTTAATTTCTCAAAGCTTAGCTAAAAGAAATATAATATGTAAAAAAATAGACAGAAAGTAAGTTCCCTGGAGGCGTCGCAGTCCTCGTAACCACCGGAAGAGTCCAAAGAGGAAGATAGGGCTTGAATTTCCTCCGACTTACGATCGATGTGAATATGGTCGTCACTTTTTTTTCTCCTTTTCCTCTCTTCAACCTGTTTATCGTCTACTTGTTTCCCTGTTCCGACTTCCTGCTCGCTCACTCCTTCGGGCGGAGTTGTGCGGCGGGCGGGGGCGCGCGGGATGCCAGGCAGAGCGTCCGTCTCGCGAGCGCCACGTCGAACAAAGGAGGAATATTCTTTATGACGCGCCGAGAGTATCCTTCGGAATCTCTTTGTAGTCTTGATTCATTCCTTGTCTTACTCCTTCGCGCCCGAGGAGCAAACGCGACGAGAAAAGAGGAAGAGTGACACGCTGGTTCGACGAAGTTTGCTGTTAAAAATCCCCGAGACGTATTTTAGCGAGAAACATCTGTCATTTTTTTTTTCTCTGAGCACTTTCGAAAACTTGGCTGAAAGATATCTTTATCAAGATTTCTTACTTGGAGTTATTCTTTGAAACCTACCTCGGTGAACTTTCCTTTCGAAAAGCAAAGACGAGAAACAAAGAAAAAAGGGGACTATCAGGAACGCTCTCCCAGGTAAAAAAGTAAAAAAAAAAATAATAATAATAATAGTCTAGGGAGAAGCAAGTTTTCGTGCATCTCTGTTCCGAAGGACGCCGAAGGAGGAGGCGCGTCGTCGGCTGTGATCCTCTGGGGCACCGTCCCTCGACCCCGTCCCCGTCAGGGCTATGAAGGACAAACAGATCGTGATCAGACATGTCCTGTGAATTATTATGATCCCTCGGGATATCCTTCGGCGAGAGTCCTTCGCCCGGACACGCGGAGGAGCAGGGCATCGACTATTCATCAAGATCGAGGAAACTCGCGGACGTCATCGCATGATGTGTTCGGAGTGATTGATGAGGGCGCAGGCAGGTCGCGTCGCGCGGGAGATTGCGCCCGCTTCGAATCAATCATTCGGGAGTTTTACGTGATTTGCTCTTTGGCCCTCGATTCGGGCGGAATCTTCCGGATACTGTATACTTTTGCATATGCATACACATAGTACATATATACACACACATATATATGTATATATATATATATATATATATATATATATATATATATATATATATATATATATATATATATATATATATATATATATATATATATATATATATATATATATATATATATATATATATATATATATATATATATATATATATATATATATATATATATATATATGTTTATATATATGTATATATAATATGTATATATATACATATACACACACGCGCACACATATATATCTGTGTGTGTGTGTGTGTGTGTGTGTGTGTGTGTGTGTGTGTGTGTGTGTGTGTGTGTGTGTGTGTGTGTGTGTGTGTGTGTGTGTGTGTGTGCATGTATGTATGTATATACATAAT